CACGCCTGATACAGGGCTCTCACCAAACGCCGTTCATCCCCTGAATCAACAGACATTCATTCTGGCACCCACACGCTAGCAATTAAAAAGGCGCAGACGGTATTCGCGCCGCGCTTCCCCAGAACGCATCGGGCTGAGGAAAATTTGCCCGGCTTACTATGGACGGCAGCGATCGATTTTTATAGAATCTGGAGTCTCGCTACAATATTCCTGCCCAGGATGTGGGGCAGGGAACGGCATGCCGGGCTACCCGCTCTACCTTCATTCCTTCGATGTCAGAAATTCAATATGGGGGACACATATAGCTCTTACAGAGTAAACAGATTTGTGTAAACCATGAAATCATCTGACGTCCGAAATCGTTCTCCATTTCACGGTAAAACAAATTATCTGCCTACGGCTACTTAATAAAATATAATGCTGGCCTTTTTTCCGTGTTCCGATACGACCTCATCTACCGGCGTCCCGGCTTTAAATAAAGTAGAGAGATCCTTGCTTGGGACTCTCGTCCCTCGTGTCCATTTTACACTGGTTCTATTTATACTCACCAAGATCACCCTCCCCCATGCTAAAGGAGTATCAAATTGTGCGGTACACCGTCGGTTAGTCAAAACGCAAATGCATTGACTAACGTTAACCTACATTCATACAGACATTTTACATATGTCATTATCAGTACTGTTATCATCCGTGCCTCGCAAGCATCTAGTATCTCATCCTAAGAGATATAAAATACTAAAACAATCGACGCGCTCATTAGCATATTTATAACGAGAAAGGCTATTACATAATTACAATATGAGCAATGGTCTGGCCCTTAAATGTGTTGGCATTTTTTATATTCATTCTAAGGTAACAGTATTTTATTCAATGTTCCTACAGTAGCTGTACATTGTCGAATCTTATGAAAGATTTTGGCAAATCCAGTTCACAAAAACGGATACCACAATTGCAAGCAATGAATGATATTCATTCATCTAATCAAACTGTGGTAATATAACCATTTATTTTTCTGTTGTCACAATGTTTGATTTTACAGTAAGCAATTAGCTTAGCAGAAACGAACGCCGCACGCGAATAAATGACAATTCTATTTGGTTGATCATCCCACGCTAATGTCACCGTTCGTCCTTTTGTATTATAACAATGTTTAGGTTTGGGGAATATTTCGTCAAATTAAGGCAACGGCAATTAATGCCGCAAGCGAATAAATGGCATTCATTTAGCAGATCAAATTGCTTTTCCACTGTGACAGGAGACCATGTTCCCGGGACAGGGACTGTCCATGATGACCGATATTTGCGCCCAAACGTAAATCCTTCCCCGAGGACATACACGTCATAGGACGAAAATATGCTTAGACCGATCCTCTCCGGACCTTCGGGACGTTTCAGAATGTTAAATCCATGTTCTGAGCTTCCCAGTTAGCTAGATGGACGTACCGTATCACCAGAAAACAAGCCAAGATAGAAAGATAAATAAAGATGATTGTTCAACACCTGTAATATCATGGTCAAATTTGTATGGTTTCGCAGCATGATTATATTACGGTTGGGCAGAATGAAGCTTGTACACAACATCTTTGTAATATAGCCAATAATTGGCTGCGACCACCAGTGTATAAAGATGTCATATTCTCAGTAGAAAGTTGCCTGGACTGCGTTGTAAAGTTAAATGAGTGCGTTGTTTTCACCATCCCCTTCAGGAATACAGAATGAACAACAACTGGAAGATAGTGAAGATGAACGGGAGTGAGATGGTCCAGAAGTTCGCGCGGGACATGTTCATCAACTTGGGCTCCAAAAGGACGGCAGTGGAGGTAAGAGGATGGTTTATTTTTTTTACAATGTATTGTCTTTGCTATGTAAATGTTTTGGTACGCAATAAAACCATATCTTTATTGATGGTGGTCTGTGCAGAGATAGGCAATTACTTCACAGGTGCTAGATTAAATAGTGTATGACATGTAAGTACAGCGTAAACAGAACGAAAGTAATAGTACAAATTATTTTCCTATCAAATTCATTACACAACATTCAATATACTGGGTAATGAAACGAGACATTCGTAATGGTACTACTTCGAACGTCACAACGTGTTTACAGAAAATTATTTTAAAACAAACTATTAACAGTTTCGGCTGAAAAATATGGAGATGTTCCAATTTTGTAATGACAGATGATGCTTCAGTGTAGCACGACAACAGATGACCAGTCAGGTAGATGATAATTTAAAGAGACAAGAACATTGAAAACGACGCATATATTATACATCACAGTCAAGCAAATATTGCCAACAATACGGTACGCTCTGTGTACGCATATATATTATGTCATTAGTATTTTGTTGACCTGAACGATATTGCCCTGTGAGGTCACAACAACATAGCTAGCTTGCTCAACATTTCATTTTGTGTGGTCCCAATGAAATTTGCCAAATCAATTTGATGACGAAAACGTAATGCTGCAAAATTTTACTATGTGTGGAATACAGGCAAAGAGAGTAAATATCTCAACGAATTTCTTTCCAATTCCGAAGATTTTCATGTGATGAATGTAGTTTGTGTCCTCCCAGGCTGTTACCGTCTTCGATATTACCGGTGTTCTTATACATAGTGCTGTTACCAGCGATCGTTACAAGAACCAGTACCGTTTATTGTACCCGTATCACCGGCAATTTGTAGCTGACAGATAGTACAGAATATGCGGTGGTTCAAGATGAAACATATTGTACACAATACCCTCAATATGATATATCTCCGGCCTGACTGGTATTTGATGGAGTTCCCACCGTGATCGATCATTAATTGATTATCATAGGCCTCCGTTATAGGGATGACGCCATAGGTCAGAGGTTAGATTTGAAGATCACAATATATTTTTAAAGTTGTGGCATATGAATATGTCAACCTTCCTTTCCATATTCAAGATGTGTACATATAGATACATATAAACAAAGCATTTGTGATTCAATACAAGGTGTACTGCCCATAGATTTAATAACTACTCATCAGCAAACAAGAACCTAACCAGGATTTCATCACACAGTATGTATCAATAATGTATATTACATAACGAAAATTAACGCACAGAGCCGTCGCGACTGGGTGAAAAAGCGATCCCTCCAAAACACCATGACAGTGATCCATGGGCTGGCTAGAGGGGAAATCTTGCAGAGGCTGGTTCCAACCATCGATACCGGATGTAACCCAATACACATTGATGTATAATAGATGATAGGGATATTTCCATGGCCTCGATTGTCCGCTGAATTTGCTAAATTTCTAGAGTGACTACTACGAATGGCCCGTATGTATCAATTGTTGAAGTGTATGTGTGATGTAGAAGTGTGTTTGTGAGTGTCCGGGTGAACGTTGGCGGATTGTGAAGGCCTCCCGCACGTTAATTTGCCTGTAGTATTCCCGGGAGATTGGCAGCATGTTTCATGTCACGGGGCGCGCCGCGTTGTGAAGCGTGACAGGTCCGGATGACAAACTCGTCTCTTCCACGGAAGAGACAATACGAATATCAGCCCCGTCCTGTGGCGGAGGGTGGGCGCTTTCCCAACACCGCTATCACGGCCTGTCTGTAATAAATCCCGGATAGAGGTAGATTCTTCTATCCCTCATCATCACCGGGGTTTTGGTGGCGATAATATCTAATGAATTGCACCAAACTATCGCATGCGTTCATAACGTCCATTCTTCTACTGAAGGCACTCGTATTGTACAGGGGACCTCATCATACCCACATGCCCCTGTATGTTTTAATTAAAGTCATCAATTAATAATGTAAGGGAGATCTATCATATATTATATATCGTGTTTGCCGCATGGATACTGCATTATTTTGCTTCTAGATCCTCGTCATTCATCGCGGACAATTCATTATTATTAACCTTTCTGGGGCAGCTGTACCTGGCGGCCGCGGCAGACAATGACAGGGCGTCCTGACAAGCTTGCTACATGGTCTGTTGCTTGATGTAGCGTTATGTTATGGCGCACACCATACATTATTAATGCAGCGTCTCCCAGGGGACGCCAGGCCGCTCTCTCCCGATGTGATCTCGTCTCGTTGAGGTTTAATGAGGTTTTAACACTCTTTTCCATCCATGGCAAATGACCTTCTTACATAACTGGTATTCACCTATCCTTAATATGTTGATATTATTGGCTTTATTGCGATAGAGTTTTGCCGTCCGTTGTAACCATGTTCTATAGCCCTGGTACATCGATAAATGCACCGCCTACATAGATAGAAAATCAAAGAAAAGACAAACACAAAGAGTACCGGTAGCAAGGATTATCAGTCACCTGCCTTTCTTTTCAGGACATAAAGATTGGAATAGACAATGGGTACAAAATTCTGTAGGGCCAACTGAATCAGACTGCTTTGGCAATGTCATGATATCCACGATGAGGACAATTTCCATAAACATCTCCGAACTTATCATAGGGCGGGGCACCTCATCTGCATTCTAATGAAATTGCTGATAAGCAGTTGAGAGCCAGGGGGCTTTATCTCCAAGACGAGCACGATTCTTAGAGAATAGTACTTGTTATCTTTTAGTACTTGTTATCTTTCTTTCTCATCACCATTTCAATATCAGAAACGTCACCATTTCAATAGCTGAACAACCATGGATGTTGGGTTGAAGAAAACGAGCGAATTAGTATGATATAGAATAACGTAACATGGGTTTCCATAACTTCACACTATTTGTTTGGGCCCTTGATAGTCAGGCTATTCAGAATGCACAAGGTCAGAACCATTAAAAGAGAAGTGGGACGACAATCTTACAGCTAGGTGGGCCATCATGCAGCACATCAGAGGTGACTACAGAAATCCCCGAGCTTTTACTTTCACTGCCTTTAATGGCTCGTTCCTCTTCAGCAAGGTCTATCATGCTCTGCCTGCGAAGTGGGTCACTGGAAGGGATAATATGTGCTCATTATTATGGAGCAGCTGACATCTCAGTAGCCCGTGTCCTGTTTACCGAGAGGCACGGCGCTGAGGAGCCGGAATGTCATCCGGTAAGGGACTGTACGATATTTACCGGGGGGGGAGGGCTGGTGCACTGGGGGGGAGGGCCATTGAAAAATATTTTGGCCTGGGGGGAGGGCCATGGAAAAAAAATTTGAGCCGGGGGGAGGGCCATCGAAAAAAAAATCGGCCTGGGGGGAGGGCCACCGAAAAACTTTTGTAAAATATGGCGTCGCGTTGTACCGAATTACAAGAAATACGCCGTAAATTCCCGAATATAGTACGCACTTTTTACATTTTTCAAAATCCCAGAAGTGTCTCGGGCCGTCGCCAAAGTCGCGGTGCGTACTTTATTTGAGTTTTCCGCCGACAAATCCGTGGACGACCCAGGAATATAGCGGAACACCGGCACGGTGAGCTTGGAACATCGATCGTCCACAGCTAGCATGTTTTGATAAAAATATTGACGAGTGGAAATAAAGTTAAACTTCAATAAATGAACATATTTCCTGTGACTATCGTCGATATTGACACCAAGTTGCGGTAAAAGAAGAAGTCAAGTCACCCACGGTAAGAAAATGTAGGTCTCTGGCAATGACGTCCGGCGCTTAAATGTCATGCCGACAGGATCGTTCCCCAGCTAGCCGGCGCCGATCTCAGTGGAACCCCGGCAAAAATATAAGTACACATACAATTGTAGGGTTTATGAGTGGTAATATTTGAAATAGTCCGCAAGCCGTGAACGTTCTTGATCGTCGTAACGTAACATGTGATAACATAACAGTTGTGCCTCGACTGATGGCCATCATTTCCAATACACTTCCGGCTTGAGTTCAACTCAGGAATCTTCAACAAAGATTATGCCCACGTCGTTTCAAAGGTTCAGAAATTGTTAACCATGTTTCACTTCCTATCACAAATATTTTTAAATCTTGATAAATGCCACAGGAAATTACTTTGTAGCGGGCTACACCAGCCAGTCGGCGACGTGAAAATTCCAGCTAGATGTACTCCTACTCGACTGTTCGGCAAGCTACAATGATAGGGGCGGAGTTAAATGTAGCCTTTGATGAAATCTTACCGCCCGGCCGGTGGGTGGGGTGTTTGGCGCGCCGACAGGCAAAGTACACCTACAGCTGAAGAACACAGAGAGGGCCGTGGCATGCGCAGCGCTGAGGACAGCTTTCCAGAACATGGACCCCGAGAAGGAAGTCTTTCTTTCTTCTGAACAGACTGTACTTATAAGTTTTACGGAGTACAAATTAATAGTGTTTATTCCTTTGATTTTGTGACAAAAACATCTATCACATAACGAGAGATTACTTGAAACGCAGTCAAACTTGTCACT